AGAACCATTGGACACGCCCAAGGTACTATTACAATCTATACAGTAAAGAAAACTAGAGGGTTAATAAAGCAGAGTTTTTAACGGAAGCAGGCATTGGTATTTCGATTGGCTGGTTGTCAAAGGAAATATCATGTGATTGTCGGCTTAACCTTTAGCCACTGACATGTGTCAGACAAAATCGTTAATTGATGAATACAGTGAATTAAATCTCGTATTTTAAAGCCTGGTTTCCACTGGTTATACAAGTAAAAAGACGATGACATACGCGATTCATTCCTCTCAAAATTATCATGGACGAGTAGCTAACAGGAAAATACAAAAAAAGCTGTTTACTCGATGAAAGTCATGACATTTCTTGTGTATTTTCATGTTAGCCTCGCATCCAAAATAATCTTGAGAAGGGTCAATTGCAAGTGGAGATTGATATTTATATTTGGATATAACAAAACACTCGGTTGACCTCTGTAACTTAACTATCTGCGCCTTTTCATTATGATTATGCTTGCAGCGTCACTAGTGAAACTAGATAAAAGGACGAAAAAGTTGTGAAGATAAAACAAAAAACAAACAAACAATCAACCAAAAAAACCCCCAAAAAACAAACGATATGGTGGGATAAATCCCTTGAATAGGACGTTTGCACGATGGCGTCGTTGACCTCTACTACCAGACTCCCTTGCACGCTTTCTTTTGTTCAGTTAATTAGCACCAATTGTCTTACTATTCTCTTGAGGGAATACAAATGTAAATAAGAAAGAAAATCTGTGAAGCATCTTGGTAGTGGGAGACAAATGACGCCATCATGCATACGTCCTATTACATCTAATGTAAACTGAGATTGGTTATCGAACCGAACGACAAAGTTCATACTATTTCATCAAACACACACGTAGTATCATTTAAATCCTATTACTATCACTACATATACCGCATTAATGTTACCACTGCAAAACTGAGGTGTCATGAAACCTGCGAAAAATGGCCAGCGAAAAATAAAAACATTCCAGCCATTGGAATAAAAATATAAAGCTCATAAATTATTTTTCACTGTTATCAAGCGCGTACTAGCAACGTTATTTTTTTCATTTGGTGGCCTGAAAAATTATCTTGACGAAAAATAAATTACATCTCTAAAAACTTTCGTCGTCAATGAAGATGAGTGAAATTAGTGAAAGAGTATAATGGATAAATACTATTGATAAAGGAGAAAAAAGATACTTACGTGTAATTGTTTGATTCCCTGAAACAAGGCTGGCCATGACAAGAAATATCATCAACATAAAATTTTGATAAATGAACGTCATTTTCTCTGATGCACTTGAACTATAAAGTAAAAACAAAAAACAAAAAAACATGACATAAGACTTGAGATCTGTCTGTTTAACCTTTTACTGACATTGCTGCCGCGAAAGCCTTCTTTATAAACTAAGACTGATAATCTTGGCACGGAAGTTCAGGTACAGTCAGACGATACGAGTAAAATGAAAATTCATGCTAGTTTTCCTCGCGATGGACCAACAACAAATCGTGCAGCTTGCGCACAATAATGTTTCATTGCTCGTTCTAGAACAATTACAGTTGTGCATCAACTTCATGCGCAAAAGATTATCAGCTAAGTCGCTAAGGGAGGGTTCATTATTACATCGTTTATAGACCCCTTGCGATAATTTCATATCTGGGGGTCAAAATAAAAGAACTCCCTTCTGACGACGATTTCAATCTTTTTTTAATGTTTTTTTTTACCCACAGGTAGGGATTTAGTTGAAGGGGTATCAACGAAAAAAATACTGCGCGCGGGGTATTGGTATTAGTATTGCACGGCAATGTGCACGGCTTTGTTGTTACGACCGCAACTTAATCGCCTAAAGAAAACAAATTGGAAATTTTAATACAAAAATCAGTGATATCATTTCTTGAAATTTTCTTTACAATTCGCTGTTCTTCTCGAACGTTATAAAAGGAAGCTCTCGTTCTTGTTTTACGAGGGTAGCACTATTAAAATATCCAGTGGCTAACAAACTTGAGTGTGGACCTCGTTCCATGCTCACATTGGAATCTAGAATTTGATTTTTACTGAGGGAGGAGGGGAGGAGAACCAGAGAACCCTGAGATACTCAGAGGCAGTTTTCCGTGTCACATGTAGGAACATGTAATTATGAGTTATGGATAAATATGCCAAGGCATTTCGCAGTATTCATTTTTTGCCAGAGAACGTTTCGTTGTTTTATGCTTACGCCTTATTGAACATGGTTTTGGATGAAATAAAGGAAAAAGAAGTACGATTTACCGAAAGATAACGGTTCAGTGATTCCGGCTGATGCACCAAGGCAAACGACCGGCAAAGCAAATCGATTCTCGTGCTTTCCGGGCGTCACACTTTATGCTCGGCCGGGACATAACCTTTGCGGTTAACCAAAACTTGGAAACAAACAAGGCTTTTAAAATACACTATTATCTCTATTATATATGTGGTCAAGGCGTCGAGGAACCTGATGAACACAGAAATAAATGGGAACCTTGGAAGGTAGAAAGGCCCTTTCTCTGGCTCCAAACCAAAACTGACCTTACTGAGCTTTAAATGTCTGGCTTTAGTGCCATTACGCTAAAATGGGCCTTGAGTGAGCTTTGATTATTATTGTGTATATTTTACACGAAGGCTGAAAAAAATAGTGTGCTCTACCGTAGCCTCCACTGTATTTAACGAATAAAACTCAGCTTTTTCCGTGCTCCGTTCAGTAATAAAGCAAGCAGAAAGTGACGAAAGCCCGAGCCGTAGTAAGAAATTGCACAAATGAGTAAGTTCAGTATGCCTCAGTAGACTGTTGATCTAGAAAACTTTGCGCTATGATTTGTATAATTGTGTTAGTTAAATTTTTCTCGAAGATAGAGTGCACGCACTAAAACCGTGAACATTAAATAGTACTAATTGGTGGGATTTACTAAGTGGGATTTACGAATCCTTTGTCTTTACATCCAAACCAATCAGTCATTTTTTATTATTTTTCCATCAACGCGTAATTACCGTGTTACCAAACCTCGTCTCTTGACATCAAATCTCACCTTGAACTATAAATTACTACAGAAGCTATTCCAGAATGTTCTACAAATGGGCTCTATTCCGCTACTGACACTTCCTGGCCAGTGTCCAGGATTAATCAAACATCTTATTATCACTCAAGAACCTTTTTCCTTCCCATCGCAAATTAGATCTGATAGTCCTCGTCCAAGTGGTATTTCTATTTATATAACTACATAAAAAATTATAAATAACTATTGCGAGCAGTTCATTCAGGGGGTTGTCTCCTAAAAGTCTCAAGATAAGCCAGTATCACTTGCATGGTTAGCGTGGGTCGAGTTGGCTGATTGCAGTGCATTGTGGGACTGCTTTAATTCCAAAGATGGCGTCTATTTCATCCCCTAAAACAGTCCCAGGCAATGCCTACTCGACCAATTTTTTTCCTTAACCTAGGATATAGGTAATACTCTACAATGATTCTATGTAACCTACGACAAATCGTTTATGAAGCCTGCAGATTCTTTCCCTCTACCCCAATTTACCTAATGTTCCTGTTTCTCAAAGGTCAAGTTCAGGATATTTTAACAACGAATAGCAGGGTTTCTAACCGGTTTTTGTTGCTACTGCTATTGCAGTAAGGAGAGTACTTTATGGTTTCCGGCGACTTGCAGTTGTTATTAGCCACGACAATCAGCTGATCCAAATTATACCCAGGATACGTATATTAATCTGTTGGATTTCCGAAACCGCAATCTATCTATCACAGGATGCAGTTTTCTTATCACCCTGCTTCGCTTCTTCCGCTTTTCGTTCAGGATGCTTTACATTGAACTTTATTTTATTGTTCCCTGTTTATAACATCTATAGCGCAAAATCATATTGGCCTCTGATTTATCCGCTTGCGCATTGAAGTTCCGTTTGCGCAGTGCGGAACGAATACGATAAGCATATTTCTAATGCACTAACATCGGAAGATCCATCCTCTTAAAGACAAAGAGTAATACAGTATACAGTATTGTAGTCCAAAAGTGGAATATTGATATGATCTGGACTTATGTTTTACACTGTTTTAGCCATTTCCTATTTACCTACAATGGATACGTGTTGGTATTTACGGCGTCTAACCTTTTCACTTTTTCTCTAAAATAAATCGCCTGAAGTTGCGCTTCTATTAGGAAAAAAAAAAAAAAAGAAAAAGAAAAAGAAAGAAAGAAAGAAGACAAAATTTGAGGGGTGAAAAACATTATGTAAAGTGCATTGAGACGACGTATAAATGCGCTATATAAGAACCTCCCATAATTATCTTATATATATATATTTAAACCGATGCAAGATGTCTAGTATAAAATATGAACTGGCACTTAAAAGTACGTGCCGGCATTCACCGCGGTATCACGTACAAACACGTAATTGAAATTCTTTGACAGGAGAGGTAAAGAACGGCACACCACCGCCAGGTTTACCTCTTGTATCTATATTATCGATGTACTCAGAAATTAATTATATATGTCTAGCTGGGGTGCAACAACAGGTAGTCTTCCTTCAAATGGGCAAAATTCTCACTCGCTGTACATTTATTCATTTTTTGTAGGCTCCTAGTGGGCTCCTGGTAGGTCGAGGTACTGCGATGGGCTAGATTAGTTTGTGGTTTGAAAATTTAACATTTTGTTAATTTACCCCTTCCAAGAATCCATCACTTTGTATCGTCCCCCCCTCCCCCTATTTCGAAGAGATTTTCATGCTATCATCGCCTCCTAAGGAACAGTTTTTGTGTGATTACATTACATGTTAAAACTTCTTCATCCTTAAGCTGATATTGGTCACTTTACATCAACAAGAGTGTTGAACTTCACAAACGAGGCCAAAGTATTCAACAGGATCTGGTTGATTATACAACACAGGGTGACCAATACTTATCTCATAGCTACTGTCATTTACTGGGCTTCCTGTGGAAGCTAATTTTTTTGACATTTTGTCATTGTTTTCCTTTCTACTCATCCTTCTCTTTTTTTTTCAAAGTCTGCTCGAACATAGTTAGTCCTAGTGAGAGAAGAGAGGTCAACTTGAGCCTGGCAAGTCTATATATCAAGCCGTCCGAGTTTGAATGAAAACAACAGTCATACAATAGTGATGTCTGTACGTGACATTTTCGTGAATAAAACAAAATATTTTTGTACAAAATTAAACTTTATCGATTCTTTGCACAGATTGGAAAAAGAATAAGCGATTTTGTTAAGTGTGGAAGATACCGACAAGTGGTGTCAGGACTTGACCTTCTTTTACCTATCCCATCTGCACGAGCTTCGCGTATTGACACTAATTAGTTAAAATGCATGTAAGGGGGCTAGTGGATGACAACTTTAATTAAAAAATCAGAAAATACTAGTTGATATTGTTATATCAAAAAATCTGGGGTTTTTTTAGGTTCGCGGTGTCAGATATTACAACTGAAATTATGAATAGTTATTATAGGAAATAACGAGAGGTAAAGGTGGTTAGTAGGTTGGAAAATCTAGAGCTTCGACCGAATATTTGTATGACAATTTTCATTGCAAATAATTTCAAAGTGAGAGACAAATCGACGCAGAAATTTGAAGCATCCTTATCGAGTCTATCAGCAACACTGGCAAACTCCGACACTGACAAACCCCTCGAAGATTTCATGCACCATTTCCCGGTGGTAATTAATGGTGGTACTAACCCCCTCCTCTTGATACTATCACTCTAATAGTCTATGAACTCCATTTTGTCTACATAGATCGTTAAATATAGCATTTACGATCCAACAGTAACTTGAGTTTCGTGATCTTTGCGGACTTTTTCCATCCGGATGAGAATTAAACAGGAATTGCGTTGAACGGACGAGAAGAAAAGCTTAAAGGAACTAACGCATTATTAGTATTGTTGAGCTCAAGCGGATTTTACAATGGCTTTGCTATCAACTTTACCCGGTTCACCGCTGTGATACATCAACGTACGTTATACATACTGACTTTTGTACTTCACTGTCTTGACAATGGTAATGATGAAAAGGTAAATTATACACCGTGAAAA